AGGTGTCCAAAAATGACTAACTCCTTCAGATTTGTAAAAATCCGGGCAGCGCTTCCCGTAGGAATAGGAGACTGCCAAAATTTATACAAAGCTGAAAATGCAAGGACAACACACAATTGTACTTGGGACCAACTCCCGACACTTACCTGATAATTAGAACCGGAGATAAGTCTGCACGATCCCTTCTTGAGGATGACATCGTGAGCTAACACCGATCCTAACTCCAAGTAAGGTGAGGCATCGTGAGCTAACACCGATCCTAATGTTAGTCCTATCTTATCCCAAGTTTCCCTCCCATCATCCATCTCACCTACCTATAGCTCCAGCACTTAGCGAGCATCTAAAGCAACTAACCTACGAAAAGAGAAGTCCCCAGAGATAGCCCCAAAAGCATACACAGGTGAGTGTGACAACATCTCTCGCCAGCCCTCAGGTTCCTTTCTAGGTCGCATAGTTCGTTCAAAAACCCTTGTTATTCCCTTTTACCCTTCCTTACATAAGAAATAGGACCAGCCAACCCAACTTATGGATGTGATTGACCTGCCAGTTTATATGACCAGGCCACACCAACTCATGGTGCCTTAGTCTGGTAGCACAAGTATACGTAGGGCATAAGTCCAAATCACACCAACTTATGGTGTGACCAGTTTCTGCCTAGACGATTGACATAAGGCGTATGACCGGGCCGCACCAACTTATGGTGAGGCAGGTCGGCCTGAACGCTCGGCATACACAAAGAACCGAACCTCCTCAACTTATGAGGGGCCAGCCTTAGCCTGAACATACGACAAGAGGCATATGAGTAGAACACACCAACTTGTGATGCGCCTAGCCAGCCCAAACAGTGACATATGGCGTAGAAGCAGGCTACCTAACTTATGAGTAGTCCAGCCCAGCCTAGACAAAACCACATGCACGAATAACCGAACAGCCCGCAACTTATGCATTCGCCCAACCTTCACAATACAACCATGCTCAACGAATAAACATAAGGCATATAACTCACCATACCAACTTATGATGTGATTAGCCTCTGCCTGAACGAGTGATATAAGGCGTATGACCGGGCCGCACCAACTTATGGTGAGGCTGGTCAGCCTAAATTTTCGGCATACACAAATAACTGAGCCACCTCAACTTATGAGGGGTCCAGCCTCTGCCTAAACAAACGACGAAAGGCATATGACCAGGACACACCAACTTATGTACCTAGCCAGCCCACACAATGACATATAGTGTAGAACTAGGCTACTCAACTTGTAGTCTAGCCTGCCTAAACAAGCAACAAGCGCGTATGACCGAGCAACCCGCAACTTATACGTTCGCTCAGCCTCCGCAACACAACACAACTACATTCAATAAGTAAAGTCACAATCCTTTTCTGTCTTCAAACGAGTGGTCAGGTCACCTCAACTTATGAGGATTTCCATCCAAACATCACCTTTATGTTTAGAAAGAGAAATAGCCAAGTTTTATATTCTCCTGCCCTTTGTGTTATGAGGGGCATAAGACCAACTACCCAACTTATGGATGAGCCAACCTGCCCACGGTTACCACTCAATTTTATATTCTGAATTTTATTTTCTCCTCTGCTTTATGGCTAGATCTCCCAACTTATGGCGTTCAACCTGCCAATGATATACGTAGTATATAGTTATATCAGATTGTATACTCAGGTTCCACTTATGTTCACGGCTCATGACTTGGTCACACCAACTTATGGTGTGACTAGCCTGCCAAAACAAGTAAACATAAGGCATAAGACTGATTCACACCAACTTATGATGTGGTCAGTTTCGGCCTAGACAATCGACATAAGGCGCATGGCCGGGCCGCACCAACTTATGGTGAGACAGGTCAGCCTGAACATTCAACATACACAAGGAACTGAACCACCTCAACTCGTGAGGGGCCCAACCTTTGCCTGGACAAACGACAAGAGGCATATAACTATACCACACCAACTTATGGTGTGACTAGTCAGCCCAAACAATGACATATAACATAGAACCAGACAACTCAACTTATGAGTAGTCTAGCTCCGCCTTAACAAGCAATAGGTGCGTGTGGCCGAACAACCCGCAACTTATGTCTTCGCCCGGCCTCCGCAACACAACAAGAAATAATGTCACAATCTCATTCTGTTTGAATTCATAGATAATCTAACTTTATCATACATACTTTCCAATTTTACCTTTTTGATCCTGTCCTGAATTCAAAACAAACAAACGCAATTTAACTTTCTCAGTCATACTTACAGACACACAATAGCAAAGGGTAATACAGTTTAAGGGAAGGGATCACATGCGTAAAACAAACATTATACCTGAGTGTTCCCTGCCTCTTGAACCCCGCCTTGGGCTCCGGCAGAGCTCCCGCAATCGGTGGCTGGACCTCCCACAAGGTCTTGTTGCGGTCCTACGGGTTGCAATCCCGCCTGCCGCCTTCCTGTCGTAACCTTAGCCTAGACTTAGAGTAAGAAAGGCAGAAGGAGCGGTTTCAAACGCTCGAGATACAGGGGTGGGACAGACTCAACTCTCAGGAGAGGGCCTTGTTGTCTTCAATCTCTTGAGGCCCCCACAATGATGGCCAAAACGCGCAGCAACCGGTCAGATTGGAGTGGAACAGTTGGCCATACGCTCTCTGACGACCTCCGAGTTGCAGCGGTGGCCTCTCTAAAGAGTTTGATCACCCTTTAAACCTTAATGCCTCAGACTCAGTCCAAACTGCAACTACGCGACCTCGCAAAACTGCATTCGGATAGCGCACTCCCCTGTGCCGTACTCAAATTGTAAGCAAAGCTCAATAATACTTAGCCAGGCAGCAGTGGACATAGCAGTCTGCGCACAGTAGCCAAGCAAGGTAGCATTACCCACCTACAAGCCCTGCAAGTGCCGCGAGTAGAGGTAGCTCATGGTGATGCCCGGTGATGCACAGTGTCGTCCAAGCCGCCAGACCCGGCGAACATCCGGCTAGACACAATAGTTTTAGCAGCAAGACCCGACTGAACCCAACCAGACACAGTAGTAGAGCACAGCGGCAGCGTCTAAACAACGAACAACAGTAGTAGCTCAATGCATGCGACTGCCGACTACGGGGCGTTATGACAAAGGAGGTCGACAAGCTGGACTTGTTACCCAATTGCATTCGAACTAAAAATCGAATTCAACTGAACCTTACCCTTTTGATTCCCTGCATATCTGTTGTTTCAGGTGTGGCGCCTAGCCAACCTCTTCATCTGACAGCGCTCCTTCACCTGTGTACCTGAGTCTGCACAAATATTTTGTCTGTCAAAACCGCTGCTTGCCTCTACCTGCATTCCTTCCGATCTCTCTACTCAGGCATATAGTCGGACCCCATCCGACATCGTCAGTTCACATTGGTAAGTACCCTCTCTCTCTTCCTTCCGCTGCTTGAAACTCAAAATCCCCGTCGCGGTATCACTCACTACCTTGTCCCCTACACCTCCTACTTTGATTGTGCCCTCACCCTGTATGGATGCACCTGGCCTTCTGTGCGGACAGGTTCATTCACCATCGTGGTCACAATGCTCCTTCATCAGATTAGCAACCTCGACTACTCAAATCTTTCTTCCTTCGTCAATGCGTGGCTGCATCCGACCTTTGACTCGCCTCGCATCGTAGGAGACATAAGGTGAGTGTTCTCCCCACTCTCTCTCTCTTTCTCTTACACGCATACACACCCGTTACCCACAGCCTCTTATGCACCTGGCCAACTCCTCGGCCAGGTTCATGCATTCTTACCAACGCCCCGGGAAACGTGGGTCGATGATGTCAAACTGGATCGCGATGACGATGGCCGAAATCACAACGAACACGATAGTAAGGTAAGCACTACATATCTCCTCCGACTCACCGTCTTCTTCCGCTTCACTTTATTAGCGAATGGTCGGTTTACCTTCGATGAAATGAGCAAAGATCGGAATGAATCTTCTGCTAGAAGGCGCGAAAATTCCCTACTTTCCAGCCATACATGCAAAGTGAGAGAGTGAGGCTACTTTCGTCGATAGGATGAGCATCGCACCGGTCAACAGGTAAGTCTCCAACCTCTCGCTTTGCCTCGCTACTTCCACCGAACGATGAGCGGACCCCGTATGGAAAAGAATACACGCCTATCTACTGTCTTTCTCTCGTCGCTCCGCAGATACGCACCTCGACTCCCCTTTCGTACCTACCCCTCACATCCCTTCACCTTCGTCTGCTTCCCCGTCAACTTATTCTCCTTCTTTCCCTCTCCATTCTTTGCTTCTCGAGGTAAGCACCCTACCTCTCTTGCTCTCCCTCCTACCCGCTCATACGCTCCCCCAAATCAACCAGGGGAATGTCGAGGACGTCCACTACGAGCAACTCGATTACCAGGTTGAAGACCATGAACAACGTGACCACCACGAGGAGAACGACTACGGGGCTGGGTCGAGATCACCAATGTGCAATATGAGAGTGAATCTTTTGTTCGGTCATGGGCGGATATACTGCCTTCAAATCCTTCGCACCGAGGGATAGAGAGAGGTTACTCCCGTCAATAGGCTGAATGAGATTAGAGTGAGAATGCCGATAGAATATGGCAATCTACACTGCTTTTCGAACCATGTACGCAAAGATACTGCGAGCAACTACTTCCATCGTTAGGATGGGCAAAAATCAAATTGAACCTTACGCTAGAACATGGCTAGATGCATTCGAACTTCATTGAAGTCCACCTCTGGGCACAGCTCTTACTGCTTATGCTGCATTTCCCCCTCCCCGCCTTATCAATCTGACTTTGCAGATCGATTCGAAAGGTCCTTGAGCCTCGGAATCGAATCCTGGTTCGCCCGTTTTTGAGCTTATTTGTTTTTCCGTGGCGCCATATCCACGTCTCCGACACCCTCCGCGCACCTCGTTCTTATCTAACTTTCTCTCCACACAACTAACGTTACAACTAACAACACCAACACACTCGTCCTGCCCAAAAATCCTGAAAACAACGCTTAGGAAGAGTTAAGTGTGCTACGGGCACAACTCGACGACCTTCTTGAGAAGGGTTGGATTCGGCTTAGCTCTTCGACATACGGTGCCCCTGTTCTCTTCGTCGAGAAGAAGAACAAGGACTTGCGGTTATGCATCGATTATCACAAGCTCAACGAGCAAACCGCCAAGAACGCCGACCCTCTTCCACACAGCGACGACCTCCTTGAACGGCTGGGCGGCACCACGTTCTTCTCCAAGCTTGACCTCAAATCGGGATATCACCAACTCGAGATCCAGCAGGACTGCTACAAGACCACGTTTAAGACGCGATATGGGCATTTTGAATGGTTGGTTATGCCTTTTGGCCTTACAAATGCCTCAGCCACGTTCCAAGCGGCTATGACGACGGAGTTCCGACACATGTTGTCAGCCACGTTCCAAGCGGCTATGACGACAGAGTTCCGACACATGTTGGATAGATTTGTACTCATCTACCTCGACGATATCTTGGTGTACGGCCGGAGTTTGGATGAGCATGTGGAGCACTTGCGCACCGTTTTGGAACGGCTACGACAAGCCAAGTACAAAGCCAACCGCGATAAATGCAAATTCGCGCGGCAAGAGCTAGAGTACTTGGGCCATTTTGTGACGCCGCAAGGCATCCGTCCACTCGTGGACAAGATCGAGGCCATCCGAGTATGGCCCGAGCCCACGAACACCAAGGAAGTTGGCTCATTTATGGAGTTGGCGGGCTACTACCAACGCTCATGCGGTAGATGCAACCACGCGAAGGTACGACCCCGGCCTTGAGGATGATCTCGTGGCAGATTGGCCGATCCGGTACGACTCCGTGCGGGGCTTTGAAAACGTCGCCATTCTCGCCGAGAAGCTCGATGATGCGTGGGTCCGTCGATGCGTTTGTCGATGGGATGTCCTGGGCAGGGAGGGCGTGGAGAAAACACACACCCATCTCCTTGACATCATACCGGGTGATGGAAGCTCGAATGCTCGCGGCGGACACCACGTGACAGCTAATTGAAGGGTGAGGTGGAGGCACCGTGCACGGGATTAGTACTCCGTTCCGATCACGAATGTGAACGGTGCGGCGGTACAAGTTCAGCTTGACTGAGGCTGAATGCAAGTACCGCAGCCGATACTGCTGCTGCCATTGGTGCAACAACACCAAGCACAAGACCTCCCAATGCCAAGATCAAGGCAAGGAGGATGTTCGACCTCAAATCAGCTTGGGAAACTAAGCTGCGCGGGAGGTGAGGCGACTCCACGAATCACGCCGCCAGATTCGGCCGCCTTGCTAGCGGCCTCCTACACATCTGGGGGGGAATGCGGATGTCGCAAGTCCTCGATTCACTTACGAGGATTACGCTGTCCACCAGGCACTCCAGGTGCAAGACCCCTCCGCATGCACGGTTTCATCACCATCGACAACCGATTCGGCAGTTTCGCCACCAGCTTTCGCCGAGGATTCGACGTCGTGGTCAAGACTTGAGAGACTCGACCCGTTGACGTTCACGGACTTCCAATCGATGCCCCTTTCCGCGACCGGTCGATTGCCGAAACCGCATTGCAACGTGCTCATGGCACAATTGCGGGATTACTTGCACACTACATACCACCTCCATTGATGGACGTCGGAGTAGAAGTTGTCGACCTTCACGATTACGTTGCGAAGATCGATCGAAGTTCAAGACACAACGGTACGACACCAACGGTGCGCCGCTGATGTACATACGCATTCAGATCGGAGAAGCGACCTGCAACGCTTTGATCAATTCTGGAGCTACTCGCAACTATATGAGCCAATATTTTATGGTATGCGCTGGCTTGGGGCCATGCGTTCGGAGGAAGTCGCAGCCCACGCAAGTCACATTGGTGGATGGGCACACGCACAAGTCAATTGACCGATGCATTGATTCCGTCCCTGTGTACTTCGCTCCGCATGCAAGCGAGGCCGTGTCCCTCGACATTTTGGACACAAAGTTCGGCATGATCTTGGGCATGTAGTGGCTGCGAAGCGAGGATCACCCGGTGAACTTGTACCGCCGCACCGTTCACATTCGTGATTGGAACAGAGTACTAGTCCCGTGCACGGTGCCTTTACATCTCTCTTCGATTAGCTGTCACGTGGTGTCCGCCGCGAGCATTCGAGCTTCCATCACCCGGGATTACGTCGAGGAGATGGGTGTGTGTTTTCTCCATGCCCTCCCTGCCCAGGACATCGCATCGACGGACGCATCGACGGACCCTCACATCACTGAGTTTCTCGACGCCTATGGCGACGTTTTCGAAGCCCCGCACAAAGTCGTTCCGGATCGGCCAATCCACCACGAGATCATCCTTGAGGCCGGGGCCATGCCTTCGCGTGGTTGCAACTATCGCATGAGCGAGGAAGAGTCAAGTGTGCTACGGGCACAACTCGACGACCTTCTTGAGAAAGGCTGGATTCGGCCTAGCTCTTCGCCATACGGTGCCCCCGTTCTCTTCGTCGAGAAGAAGAACAAGGACTTGTGGTTGTGCATCGATTATCGCAAGCTCAACGCGCAAACCGTCAAGAACGCCGACCCTCTTCCACGCACCGAAGACCTCCTCGAACGGCTGGCCGGCGCTAAGTTCTTCCCCAAGCTTGACCTCAAATCGGGATATCACTGACTCGAGATCCAGCAGGAGGACCGCTACAAGATCGCGTTTAAGACACGATATGGGCATTTTGAATCGCTGGTTATGCCTTTTGGCCTTACGAATGCCCCGACACGTTCCAAGTGGCTATGACAACGGAGTTTCGATACATCGTGGATAGATTTGCACTCATCTACCTCGACAGTATCTTGGTATACAGCCGGAGTTTGGACGAGCATGTGGAGCATCTGCGCACCGTTTTGGAGCGGCTACGACAAGCCAAGTACAAAGCCAACCGCGACAAATGTGAATTCGCGTGGCAAGAGCTCGAATACTTGGGCCATTATGTGACGCCGCAGGCATCCGTCCGCTCGCGGACAAGATCGAGGCCATCCGCGAATGGCTTGAGCCCGCCAACACCACGAAAGTTCTCTCATTCATAGGGTTGGAAGGCTACTACCAAGTCTTCACTATCGGGTACTCAAGGATAGCCACACCATTGACGAGATTACAATCGCCAAAGGTGCCATTCGTATTCGACGACGAAGCACGCCGGTCATTCCAAGCACTCAAGACGACCATGATGATGGCATCCGTTCTTAGCATCTATGACCCCACCTTGCCAACGAGAGTGACAACCAACGCCTCCGACTATGGTATTGGGGCAGTCTTGGAACAACACGACGACGACGACTAGCATCCCGTGGAGTACTTCAGCCACAAGGTGTCTCCCATCAACTGACTTGATGATGCAAGGAAGAAGGAGCTGCTCGGTTTCGTAATGGCTCTCAAGCGATGGCGGCACTTCCTCCTTGGGCGTCGTAGGGTCACGGATAACAACCCGTTGACCTACTCCAAGACGCAAGACACGGTGAGGAGCACTATCGGACGATGGATGTACTTCATCGACCAATTTGACTTCACACGGAAACATCTCGCCGGCATCTCCAATCGCGCAGCAGATGCACTCTCGTGAAGACTGGATCTTTGTGCGATGACACATCATGTCGTCGCATTCGACGAGGAACTTCAGCGGCATTTCATTCGGGGCCACCAGTTCGATCCGGATTTCGCCACGCTATATGCGTAGCTATCTTGGGATCACCCGCCGGCCAGGCATTATCGCATCGTCGACAGATACTTGCTTCTTCACTTGTGAGGCAAGGACTTACTATGCATCCCATGAGACCGTCGTCTTCGGACTCGCCTTCTCGGCGAGTACCACGACTCGCGACTCTATGGCCATTTCGGAGTCAATCGGACTATAGCCCGACTTCGGCAACGGTTCCAGTGGCCCGACGTCATCACCGATGTCATTCGGTATTGCGACTCTTGCGAAGTTTGCCGACGACCAAGCCCCACAACCGCACCCCTACGACAAGTTGCGCCTGTTGCTTATCCCGCGGGAACCCGGCCTCTCCATTGCTATGGACGTCAATGACCCTTTCCCCGTGATCGCCTCTTGCACGATGACATCCTCATGGTCGTTGACCGATTGAGTAAATACACACGATTTCTCCCTTGCAAGTACTACACCACGACTCCCGACCTTGTGCTCCTCTTGCACACCAGCTGGATTTGCAGCCACAGCGTACCGAAAGACATCATTAGCAATCGCGACACTCGGTTCATGTCGGCATTTTGGACTTCTCTCATGCAGGAGTCCGACACCGAAATGAAACCGAGTTTGGCTTGACATTCACAAACGGACGGACAAACGGAGCGGGCACATCAGACCGCTCAAATGATGCTTCGTACACTCATCCGTCCGGACCAGAAGGATTGGTTGATCGCCTCCCCGACATCGAGTTCGCCTACAACACTTCGTTGCATCCGGCAATCGTCGTGACCCCCTTCGAGTTGCACCACGGTGGCCGGAAAGGCCGTATCTTCACCGATCTCCTCCCACAGACTGCCGACATTGATGCCCCTTGCTCTCCCGCCTCCGTTCAGAAGTACCGGGACTTGCTGGCTAAATGCCGCGTAAGCATGCAAAAGGCTCAAGGCCGCATGCAGCAGCAGCCAATCGGCGTCGCGTACCATGTCCTATCCACGCCGGCGACCTGGTTTGGGTCTCCGCGGAAGAGTTTGCGCTCGAACAGGATGCGTCTCGCAAACTACTCCCCAAGTGGTTTGGACCATGGACCGTTCGTTCAGCCGCACCGACGACCTGGTTTGGTTCTCCACGGAAGAGTTTGCGCTCGAACAGGATGTGTCACGCAAACTACTCCCCAAGTGGTTTGGACCATGGACCGTCCGTTCAGCCGCAGGCGACAAGCTCGACGACCCATCTTTCGTGATCGACATCCCCCCACATCCGCCGGGCCATCCAGTCTTTCATGTCTCGAGGCTGGCAACATATACACCAGCTAAGAGCACTGAGACCTCGGGCCGACGATCGCAAGACCCTCCGGTCTATGGATGGTCATCAGGAGGTCGACCACGTCATCACGGATCGCAAGTATGGCAACAAGCCTCGACAGTACAAGGTTACCTTCAAAAGCATGCGAGCCTGACGACACTCGATGGATTTCACAAGCAGATTTGCAAGCTTCCGCACCACTGATCTACGCTCACTACGAACGACAAAGACTAGCTAAGGAAACCTCCCAACCTGCCCCTCCCACTCGGAGTTTGGTCCCTCCCTCCTACAGGCAGCTTTGCCCTCGCAGGTAAGCTCAGTCTTTCAAGGCGGGGGGGTGTGGCATACTGCGCACCACACGGGCCTGCAGGTCCCGACCAGGCAGTTTACGTGCAGTTCAGGAGGCAGTCTTCAGGAGTCGGCCGCAGCACTCTGCAGGAGGGCAACAGTAGTAGTAGCCAGCGCTAGGAGTAGTCTTCAGCGCTGGGCGCTATTAGGAGCTTAGAGTAGCATTGGTAGAGAGAGAGAGAGGGCGGAGGCCAGGGAGACTTACCTGTGGCGCCATAGCCCCAGCTTCGTCTTCGATGTACCTGCAACAAGGTGCCACCTTCACAGACAGTACTTGGCACCAAAGAGAGAGAGTTCTTCTTTTTCCTCCGAAGTCCACCATCTCTCCCTCATCCTCTCGCTACCTGACTTCTCGGTATCTGGAGACTACGAGAGAGAGAGAGAGAGAGAGAGAGAGAGAGATTTGAGACTTCGGGATTTGACGACGTTTGGATTCAGACTCGACATTGGGATCGAGACATTGGACGAGGGATTATTTGGGACCTGTACCGAAGACTTGGTGTTGACGACATTCCCATCTTCCCCCTCTTCTTCGTCTGATCCCCCTCCTCTTCGTCTGTGTATGGTTGGGGACTGGCGCATTCTTCCTGTGTGCGGGCCAGGCCCCTTCACACCATGTGATGATGATGATGTATGTTTGGTCTGCATTGCAACATTGATTGGTCTGATCATTGATATCTTAGCCTTCCGCTGCGCTATCCTGTACTATGTGAGAGAGGTCGGTTCTTGTTCTGGTCTGTACCGTTATGGTATGCAACACCTTGAGAGAGCACACACATGCAGAGATCACATCTGGAGACCGGAGATGCAAGTCCAGATAAGTGCAGTTTAGAAATTCCAACAAAATATCATATTAAACAGTTTCAGAGTTCCAGTCACCAGCGCCCATCAGCGCAGAGTTCAGCATCCCCTATCCAGCATCCTATCCAAGGTAGGTGACTCTCTCTCTCTCTCTCTCTCTCTCTCTCTCTCTCTCTCTCTCTCTCTCTCTCTCTCTCTCTCTCTCTCTCTCTCTC